CATTTAAGAAAACCCCCAAATCTCTAGTTGGTGTAATAGCAGCAGAGAGCAGTCAGATACGCAGAGGAGACAAAGCAGTTTCATAACATTCCAGTATCTGTGTCCTGATACACGCACCAATAAACACACATAAAGCCAGTAACAGCTACGAAGTGCAGCCATTTCGGTGACTGCACTTGCTCTCTTCATCCCAAAAGAGAAGCTTACAGGGCCATGCAGTGATCCACTAGCACTGGACGCTGCACACAAACACAGATCTTCAGGTCTGAAAACCTCCCCTTAATTTCCAGGCAGTCACTAATGCAGGCACAGAAGCAAACCACGACGAATGCAACTGCACACATAAGTTTGTGTATGTGCTGTAATACCTGGGTAGTACAAGTAGTATTCTTCCACAGGTAATAAAGAAGTCAGTTATTAAATTTGGCAACATCTGCAAAGAATCTAGAGACTCTGAGGATGTTCTAAGGGAAAAGCTAAAGAGGCAACAGTATTCTGGAACATACATACTCTTCATGCACAAGATATTGCAATTCTTCTTGGCTTCTGCATTTTCTCTTAAAAAGGGAAACATTTTTTTTACTCTTATGGTAGACCAAATCAACAAAAATTTTATCTCTGACTTAGTATACTGAATCACTGACAAGACTGATTCAGTTGTAACTTATCAGATCAAGAATGAGAGAAAACATGCAGCAGTATCTGAATTCTGCCCATAGCTCCGGAACACTTAAAATCTTCTGCAACAAGAATTGGCAATGAATTATTACAAAAAACCAACAAATAATCACAAAGTGACAATCTACAGCAGCGACCTTGGGTTTTCTTGATGTACTCTCTAGGCTCCATCTGTAGCTTCAGGAAGAGAGCACTGCATACATCCAGCATCCTTCTGCACAGAACAGAAAGCTGTGAGAAATCAAAGACTGTATATGGGTAAGACCATCAACACTGCCGAGCACCCAGGTCACAGACTCACAGATGCACAGAATGTTAGGGGTTGGAAGGGACCTCAAAAGATCATTTAGTCCAACTCCCCTGCCAGAACAGGATCACCTAGAGTACATAACCCAGGAACATGTCCAGGTGGGCCTTGAAAGTCTCCAGAGATGGCGACTCCACCACCCCCCTGGGCAGCCCGTTCCAGTGCTCTGTTACTCTCATTGTAATGAAGTTCTTCCTTATCTTCAGGTTGAACCTCTTGTTCACCAACTTGTGGCCACTGCCCCTAGTCCTGTCACCAGACACCACTGAGAAGAGTCCAGCCCCATCTCCCTGACACCCACCCTTTAGATATTTATAACCATTAATAAGATCCCCCCCTCAGCCTCCTCTTCTCCAAGCTAAACATCCCCAGCTCCCTGAGCCTCTCCCCACAGGACAGGTGTGCCAGGCCCTTGATCATCTTAGTAGCCCTGTGCTGCACCCTCTCCAAAAGTTCTTTGTTCTTCTTGAACTGAGGAGCCCAGAACTGCACACAGTGTTCCAGGTGGGGCCTCACCAGGGCAGAGCACGTCATCTCTGCACAAGCCAAAAGACTCCAAGAAAGTCAACTCAACAATAAATACAATTGCTCCTCTCCATTGTTTCTCCCACTCAGGAGACTGAAGATTAAATACTGCTTCCAGGCATGTGGAGATGCAATTCCACTTCTGTGTGGTAGGTCAATGTTGTTCTTCTTCGGCAAATGAATCCTACTGACCTCTCCAGTCACAAGAAATCAGCACAGTTACATGTTGTTGCAACATTTAGGAAAAAAATGCTTTAAAGCACTTCAGTCAGTCGTATTTAATATTCTGTTCATTGCTCTTATTTGCCTGAATCTTCTAGATCTGTCTTCCAGTCCTTCACTATTCTCCTGATTTTTCACCTCTTTGTTCTCTCAATCCCGGATGTCTTGTACTTGGGGGATGGAACTCAGGTTATCAAACCTGGTCTGAAATCACCTTAAGCTTTACAGCAAGGGCAGAAGGAAAAATATTGCACCCTACTGACTTAATATTGGTTATGCCTTTTAACTGGGCTAAAACAATTCATTAAAAAGATTCAATCCCAGTAAAAGCAAAGAGAAGCACAAAATACTACTTCGGTCAGTTCAGGACTACCTCAGGCCATGATTCTCAAGCACTAATGCAAGCGGCAACCACAGGTAAGTTATGGTAAGGCACTCCCTGCATAGCATCTATGAATAGTTCTCCCAGACACACTTCAGAATTAGTTTCTGTCCTTTTGGGGGTTTTCAGAGGATGTCCGTTGTTACTAACAGCATGAAAATAACACCCTAACAGTGACAATAGCATACTATTTCTATTTCTACAATTCTTTTATCTTCACACTCAAAAGAATAATGAATATTATTTCCACCAAAGTAAAACTCAGATGCCATTTTTGACCAGGGGGAACAAAATGTGAACTCCATGTCAGCAAAAGGTACTATTTTGAGCAGCAGCTAATGAATTACATGTGTAAAAAGAACCTTCACTATCACAACAGGGGTTGAGTATGGGGAAAGAACCTCTCTTTTCTCACCAAAATAGACAAAAATATGAAATCTAGATGCAAGGTTATCCTTGAAAGAAACATATACATGTGTGTTATATATTCAAAACAGAAAATGCAGTTAAATGGATTTATCTGGGGGGGAAGAGAGGTATATCTCCTCTTTGAGACATCTTTCCAGGAAATATTAGTATCAAATATGAAAAAAGTTCTTTACACAAAACTACTGAGAAGTTAAAACTGCTACACCAGGCTTCCTACTACAATTAAATCCATTTTAAATGTAACAATATAGGCATATAAACACAAACAGAAGAACCAGCCTGCAGAAAAAGCCAAAATAAAATAATTTTTAAAAAGTATCTATTGCACAGACATCTGAAAAAAATATATTCTAGCTTCTCTGTCCCATCCCATAATCCTCTTATTAGCAAACATTCTCTCCACAGCTATTCCATTATGCTTCACTTTTGAAATCCACACATTGGTAGCATTCAGTACCATTTTAGCAGCAAGGTTACACATAAGAACATCTTGTTAGCCCACTTGGGAAAGATCTTTAGAAAATGTACATAAACCTATGTTGAAAGTAGTCTGAAGACAAGAGTGTCATCTGTTTATGTACTCCACATTATAAATAACAGTGCCAAATTTGTGATAGTATTATGCATTTCCAATCACTTAAGTTTTCAACTTTCCCAAGTACTATTCCTTTTTCTCTTGCACAAAGGATAATCTTGATCTAGAAATTTATTTCTCCTTCTGAATTCCTAACCACATGCTGTCAATACAGTTATAAATTATTTGAGTAGAAATGAAATAACTTCTGACCTACTTGATAGTTCAGCATGGGTACATTTGCAATCAATACTTGTTTTTCATATGCGTACTGTTTCATCCTACGTCTCGGAAAAAAAAAAATAAATTAAATAAGGACAGCAGTGACTACTATATAGGGAAGATAATTTGATTTTTCACAGTGCCCTTCATTGTCCAGCTGTCCCTAAGCACTTTACAAAACAGTAAGCCTCCTAGATGACTGTACGGGCAAATACAGCAGCTGTTCTGCACTCTACAAGCGCTCGCCTCTAAACAGAGTAATCTCATACTGAGGGGCTGCACACAAACCTGAGGCACCAGGGAAACATCTACTCTATTTGTAAAAAAAGGTCATTATATCTGTAGGTATAATGCTGCTTACACTTAGAATGCTAAAGTATAAAGACCGGGAGATCAGCAGTGAAAATATGTTCGATACAACATCTCAAACAAACAAACAAAGTCATCCTTAATACCTGAGGTCTACGTTGCATTTTTCATACCACACCTAAATTCTGTCTATAGAACAGCACAAAACTCTATGCAGATGAGAAAACTCCATCTACTCCTAGTGGCAGAGGCCCAAACTGATCTCCCAAGTGACTAATATTATACTCTAGACAAAATCTAAAGGAAAGTCTCTAGATTAGGAAAATCATCTTCTAAAATCAAAGAAACATGGTAAGAAAGCTTTCATCTTTGAACAACAACTTATTCTTTGTAAGGAAAAGTTAGTCCTCTATGTCAAGTCACAGCCTAGTTTTTTTCAGTTCTTTATCTTCCATTTCCATGGTGTGTCAGCAATATTAACCTTTTGTTTCAGCCATCATACAGAGCAGGGAATGCTTGCTCACCTTTGGTCTCAGTAACAAGCTGGACAAAGCTGTCTGTCTAAATTATCATTTCCTCTCTTTCTACTCAACAGCTGGCTTTTTTTTTTTTCTTAAATGAACACAGTGGGTACAGACAGGCCAGATATTACCCTGCAGCAGAAAAAAAAGGCAGATATTTTTACCATGAAAGCGCAAAGTTCAGTTCTATACATTTGATTAATCTTATCTTGCTGAATGAGGAACTGTCAAAAGCCTTCAGGCATACACAATTCTAAAAATGGAAGCTTTCCATAAGGAAAGTCCTTCCTGTGTGATGAAATACACAAGTTAGCAAAACAGGATGTAGTACAGAGAGCACACGTGCATCCTTACTTCAATTGTTATAGCATTAGCCCTTCCTAGCTGGATTACTCTTTGGAGTGAAGCTGCATTTGTTTTTTTAAAGCAAGCACGCTCTGCTCACAACTCTGCAAAGCATGCAAAGACCATTGGGTACAAAAGTGAATACAACTTGGGGAACACCACACTGTCATGTAGTAAAGAACACAGTAAACTGCTAAGCCTATTGCATAAAGACTATTTTCTACTTGAAAAGGGTTACAGTCAGGGTGGCCAGACAAAGCCTAAGATACAAATTACACTGTCTTCTATGCACCTGATGGCTGGATCATTCCAAAATGTGGAGAACAAGGTTGAAGACACCTTATCTCCCATCCCATTTGATACCACACTTCACGAGTTAGTAAGAGCAGTTCTGGAGTTCTGAGATTCAGAAACAAACGATCAAGTCCTCCTCTCCCCTCTGCTCCACCCTGCACAAAGGAAGACATAGAAGGAAACATTCATTTCATAATGTCAGTGTTTATTTACATGAGAGAAGGTTTACACAAGTTGAAAAGTTTTCTCAACAGGAACCCAATGATTACTGCATTTGCTTCTCTTCAAAAAAGGGACAACTTTAAAATTCGGTGATGCAGCTTCAGAACACTTTGATGATCACTTGGGAAAAAAGTGCCAGGAATCAACTAAAACAAACAAACAAAAAATACAAATCAAGAATTACATGAGTTCCATACAACTACCCAGAGACGAACAACTGAAAAAGCAACAATCTCCCCTCCAGTAACAGTACTTCTGGGTGAGCTCCACCCCCAGCCTATGTAAAGCATGGCCTCAAAATAACATCTGTTCACTTTTAACAGTTTGGCTGAAACAATCCTGCAACAAGTTACAACACTGATGTGACCATCCCTGGAAAAAATCAAAGATCAGGCAGAGTATGTTCAGTTGTCTGTCAGAGGTCTGAGATGTAATACTTCAGTAAATAAATGCTGTTTATTTGCATGCCATATATGGGCAAATAGAATGCAACTTGCTTTCCCATGATATGGGCTACACAGATGTTACTTTGCAAGCTATCTGGAACTTGACTCACGACTATGTTTCTCTTAGTGTTTCTGTAACTCACTCCATCTCAAAGCGCACGTATGTCTATACTTTCTGCCAGAAGAATTTTTTTTTTTAATAGTTAGAAATGAAAATGTAGGATGTGTTCGTATTTCTTGATGAAAAACACATGTTCTGTTAACAGGAAAAACAGTCACAACAGTGAAAGAAAGCATTTTGTCTTTAGAACTTACACTGGAAAATGAAGTATGGTTATGTCACTTTTAGGAAAAGGGGCTATTTGATCAGTTAGCTAGTGTGAGGAATGACAAACACTAAGGCAAAGCGACCTTTCTTCTTAAAAACGGTAAATGTCATGGATTTGCTTTCCATGATCAGTGACAGAAAAATTTAGTCTTCTCATCTTTTTATGTGGACTACATTCTCACTCATACTCAAACATAACGTTCTGCCACAAGCCATCCACTAATTTCTGCCCATGTTCTATTTAACAGAGGACATGCATTACAGTCTGACCGAATGTAAATATTATCACCCTCATGTGCACAAAGCCACCTTTTTTCAACACAACTGTTTTTAATGTCAATTTTTAAAGCAAACAAAGAAACAGCATGGCATTTGGGGAAAAACTTACCTTCTGGGGAAACGGAGTCTCCGTGCACAGGCACTGGTGCCTAAAAAAAAAAAAAAAACGACCAACCAAAATGAAAAAACAAATCAACATATCAGCGTTTTAGCTAGTCTCACAGGTAGCACTCAAACTCAAAGCAATTTTACTGCTGAAGTCAAGAGATACTAATAAAAGCAGGACTTTATATTGTCCCCAAAGGACAATGTTTTACCTTACAGACTTTCCCTTTTTTTCCCCCTTGTAATTACTATATACATTTCTTGGTTGCTCATAAATTATAAAACACACCCACTAGTAATGACTGACAGATTAACATTTTACTTCACGAAAAGGGGATTTTCCTACTGTTTTGTCTTTGAGGATAAAAAGATTTTCTGTTTGCATACTGAAGAGTAGAAATGCCTTTCCAAATACATTACCATACATGATTCGGCATAAAGGTACACAGGTGGGTATACAGACACACACTATTTACATTACATATATGGAAACATTTGTAATTAAATTATTTTACAACCACATTTTGACAGAGTAGGATTCAGTTCTGTGGGGAGTGACAAATCTTTTCAGAACATAGGCCTGAGTCCATTTCAAAGCAGGACACACAACTGCAGTGTTACACAGCATGTCCTGTCCTGTTCCTTAGACGACAAAATTAAAGCCAATTTTAACACCAGCTGGAAGCAACCTGCCTCACGATGAGGACACTAGTTACTTGCACAGCAACTCCACTGCCCTTCCATCAGCTCCTTGCAAACATCTACACAAGTTTTCCAGCTCACATAACTGATAGGAAAGAAGCAGAGAGCGGCCCAGCCCAAAGAATCCTGCCACGGTCACTCACAGACACAAATCAAGTGCAAATTCCACGTATGTGGATGTTGGCCTTTGTCATGACACAAGCCCACTCCAACTACACTTAACCAAGAAGACAATTCCTGGAGGATAACCTCCTGCCACTACTTAACGGCACATGAAGACATTAATAAAAACTCTGCAGCACCCTGCAGGCAGGTGAACTGGCCCAAACGCCACACAGATGGGCTCAGCATAGTGCAGCACTCGGACTGAGCTGTGCTGCTGTGAAACTCCCTCAGGAGCCAGCCTGCCTGCCTCCGAGCAGGCATGGGGCTTGATCCACTGGAAAAAAAAAATCCAAAAAGGCCAAGAGAAGTCAAAGCCTGTGAGGAGGGAAGTGAAAAAACAGTATTCTTTTTGCCATTTGACCCAGAGACTGCACTGCAGTGGTTATGCACCTGGTCTGAAAGGATGTGCCAGTATGATAAATGTAATCCAGGTCTTAGAATCAATCATAGTTTGGGTTGGAAGGGTCCTTTAAAGGTCACCTAGTCCAACACCTTTGCAATGAGTAGCCACATCCTCAACTCTATCAGGTTGCTCAGAGCCCAGTCCAACCTGACCTTAAATGCTTTCAGGGATGTGGCACATCTACACCTCTCTGGTCAACCTGTTTAGGTGTTTCACCACCCTCATCATAAAAAACTTCTTCCTTATAACAAGTCTAATTTTACCCTCTTTTAGTTTAAAACCATTACCCCTTGTCCTGTAGCAACTGGCCCTGCTAAAAAGTTTCTCCTCATCTTTCTTATAAGCCCCTTCCCAGTACTGAAAGGCCACAACAAGGTCTCCCCAAAGCTTTCTCTTCTCCAGGCTGAACAATGCAAACACTCTCAGCCTTTCTTTGTAGCAGAGGTGTTCCAGCCTTCTGATCATTTCTGTGGCCCTCATCTGGACCAGCTCCAACAGGTCCATGTCTTTTCTACACTTGAGGGCTCCAGAGCTGGACACCGCACCACAGGTGGGATCTCACCAGAGAAAAGTAAAGGGGCAGAATCATTGCCAGCTCATGCTTAGTTTTTCATTCACCAATACCCCCAATTCCTTCTCTGCAGAGCTGCTCTCAATCCCTTCATCCTCCAGCCTGTTGCCCTGACCCAGGTGCAGGACCTTGTACCTGGCGTTGCTGAGATTTATGAGGTTCACATGAGCCCACTTCTCAAGCTTCTCCAGGGCCCTCTGGATGGCATCCCTTCCCTCCAGTGTGTTGACCACACCACTCAGCTTGGTGTTATCTGCAAACTTGCTAAGCATGCACTGAATCCCACTCTATATATCACTGATGAAGATACTAACGAGTACTGGTCCCAGTACAGACCCCTGAGGGGCACCACTCTTCACTGATCTCTATCTGGACATTGAACTGTTGACTACTACTCTCTGGATGTGACCATCCAACTAATTCCTCCATCCACTGAATAGTCTACCCATCAAATCTGTATCTCTCCAGTTCAGACAGAAGGATGTTGTGGGGGACCATGTCAAAGGTCTTACAGATGTCCACACAGTTGACATCCATAGCTATTCCCTCATTCACTGATAATAGTCATTCCATCACAGAAGGCCACTAGGTTGGTCAGGCAGGACTTGCCATTGGTAAAGCCATGCTGGCTGTCTCAAACCACTTCCCTGTCCTCCATGTGCCTTAGTATAGCTTCTTGGAGGATCTGTTCCATGATCTTCCCAGGCACAGAGGCGAGGCTGACAGGTTGGTAGTTCCCAGTGTCCTCCTTTCTACCCTTGTTAAAAATGGGTGCAATGTTTCCCTTTTTCCAGCCACCAGGGACTTTACCTGACTGCCAGGACTTTTCAAACATGGAGAGTGGCTTGGCAACTACACCAGCCAACTCCCTCAGGACTCTGGGGTGCATCTCATCGGCTCCTATACACTTACATACATTCAGGTTTCTCAGACAGTCACGAACCTGATCTTACACTTCTCTTACACTGGGAGGGACTTCACTCCCTCAAGTTCATGCTTAATGTCCATCTGCTCAAGAGGTGTGGGAAGAAAGCTTGCCAGTGAAGACTGAATTAAGGAAGTTGTTGAGTCCTTCATCCTTCTCTTCAGCCATTGTTACCAGTTTGCCAGTTGTGCTCATCGTAACGGGGGGATGACAACACATGCTTTCTTTGACCTACCTTTTTCTGGCTCACATACTTGTAGAAGCCCTTCTTATCATTCTTTGCATCCCTTGCCAAGTTCAGCTCCAGTTGTGCCTTGGCCTTCCTGACCCTGTCCCTATAAAACTAGGCAACATCCCTATACTCTTCCTAGGATACCTGAGCCTGCTTCCAGCTTCCTGCATTTCCCTCTTGCCCTTTCATTTTGACCAGCAGGTCTGACTCATTCATGTCAGTTTCTTGCCTTTCTTGACTGACTTCTTACAAATGGAGATCGAGAGCTCTTGTGCTCTATGGAAAACATCTTTCAGGCCTTAACACCAGACCATCCCCTCTCCTTCCAGTAAAACCAAAGCTTTATCTTACAAGGCAATGAGAAACCAGTGGTCACCATGTATTAGGAGGTGCCTGCCACTTCTGTGATAATTGCTTAGAAAGTTTGAGATAAGGGTTCCGCACCTTCCCACCAGGAACAGATCAAACCCTCATCCTATAGAACCAGGAATCTCTTCATCACACAACCTTTTCATTTGGAATACAGGTTAAATAAATAAATAAATAACCTAACACCCAACCAACACCCGCCCCAAACAAACTAAGATCAAAAACCCCACCAATCTTTTGTTTCACAGCTGGCCACTGAACAGAAATTTGGGACTTAGTAGAATCAGAAATGGAAATGTCCTTCACAGAAAACATGTATGGAGAAAGAGAGTTCAGACTTTCCTGCTTAGATCTGAATTACTTGAAATACATTAGTAAGTATACAGATTCAAATTTTGCTGGAGAATTTTTGCATTACTAGGAAAAGCCAAATATTTTCCTCCGTAAGATACCATTCTGCATTTTATAAAAAAGAGACCTCATCTAGCAAAGCTTTCCTAGTTCACTCTCGAGTATTATAAGGGAAGAATTATGTGGTAAATCTGAGAAACACTCTCTACGAACTATATATAGACTGTCCTGGAGATTTTCCAATTTGCAAAGCCCTCAGCAGCTTCTTCACAGACCAAGTAGTTTCCAGAATTAATGTTAAACAAAGGTTTGGCTGTCCTGGTCAGTTTTACAGATGGCAACACTTAAAAGCCTGAAATAAACAGTACCTCTTAGCACTAACACATCCAGCTACAAAGCTCTATTTCTCCTGAGTTTAGTTTTCAACATATACTAAACACTGGAGCTGAGAAAGAGATGGAACAATTTTCAAAGGCTAGAGAACACTAGAAATTTTCACCACCTAGGGTTTGTAGTTGCAGGGGGCTGGTGTAATTTCTTCTGGTTCAAATATTCAGTATGTGTTCCCATATGCAAAGATTATTCCCCATCTCTTTGGAATTGACTGAATAGAGCAACTTCATCGGCTGTAGAATTGTTCCTAATTTGCCACCAGTACAGGTGACAGCACACGTGCCCACCACCTAGAAACTGAGTGGAGTGGAAATTTCCCAACACAGACAAGCCATTCTAGCCCCATATCTGTAAAATAATGAAAAGTCAAATAATAGCATGATAAATCCTAATGAAATCAACGGGACTATCTTGGGAATTACCCAGTCAAAATCTGTATGACATACTGACTAGTACACAATTCATCATTAGGTAAGGATCTGTTTGTTTTCCATTTCATCCTTAGTTATAGTTCTCTTGTTTATCATAGAAGTGAGTTTGTAACAACAGCAAGTGTTGCTTTTGGGGTTTTTGTGGGGTTTTCAGGTTTTTGATTGTTTGTTTGGGTTTTCTGAGGGTTTTTTTTTGAGAATCTAATATACTCAATTTAAGGCAATTATCACCCACTCAAAAATTCTGTAACTGGAGTCTGACCAAGGAAACAGCTCTGCAGGGAACCAGCTCTCACTGCATAAGTAGCTCAGAAATTCTGTAGTAGCTGAAATATGTTTCTCACTGTACTTGCATACAAAATCTCTATCTCAGCTTCCATTCTTCTGCTTCTACCCAGAAGTTAATAGATGGACATGAGTTAGAAGAAAAACATATCTGCTTCTAGTTTAAAAAAGAAAAAAACAAAACCAGAAAACTAAAACCACACGAATGAAAAAACCCCAGACAGACAGACACAGGCCACTTTCATTTAAAATTACCACAGGCATTAAAATTCTGCAGCCAACACTCACGTACTTTCACTTCAGTTTGAAAGAGATGAATGCCTGACAACCAAAGTGGGCAGTATAGTGTACTAGACAAAAAAATACCTGCTTAAAATATGCAAGTCAACCTCTCTGCTTATATTCAGAGTTTGAGGATCCACTATTTATACTTCAAGAGCATTTAAATTTTTTTAGTTATTATCAATTGGAAGTTGCATGCAGGATGAACAGTATTTGAAAGAGTACTGGATTTCTCTGTCTGAAAAGTACCCAGAGACAGCACCCTACAAAGACACAAACATATTGAGACTGAACTGAAACACAATGATACAAAGGAGTATGTGATCACAGCTTCACAAAACCAGTATCACTTAGAGAAAATGATGTGAGGCACAAAAAACCCAGGAAGTGATAATACTTGATAAGAAGGCAAGTGTTTATAATAAAAAAGGCATGAAAGTGTGATACAAGGTACCCATTTTATGAACTGGTTTTACTAAACCTTCCCCTCAATAATAAATAATTTTTTTTCCCCTTTTTAAGAGATAAGAGACGCTGCTGTTTTTTAAAATAACAGACGCTGCTGATTTAAACAGGTAATTATTTCCCCTCCATGCTTTAAAGTACAACGGCACAGAACACAAAAGGAAATATTCTTTTGCAGGTTTGTCACTGTCCAAATATGTTTGAACGTGAAATTTTAGTTGTGTTTAAACACTCGCTAGAAGTTATCGTAAATTTGAAAGTATAGAGGTAAATACTTGCTTATAGCTGTGACTGACATGTCTAAAAATGTATTTGTATTCAAAAAAGTTTTCCTTTCATTTAAAAGTTACAGTCCCATTAATTAACGTTCACTAGTGCAACCATAAAGGTACTTTTAAAGAAGTGCTGAAAACAAGAAACTTGAATAGGAAAAAAAGTCAGGTTTGACACTTTTTTATGACTTAAAACTTTCTTTGCAACCAACAGCCTTATTTTCTTGCGACAAAACACCACTCGGGACAACACATCCTCACCAGAAATCCTGTGTGAACGTTAGCTGCTCGGGCAATGGATGGTGTCTCCTTTGATACCTGAACTTGTACAATTACTATGGCTACTGAGGCAAGGCACTGGCACTCTGACACTCACGGCATCATGAGCACAATCATGGCTTACATTTAAAAAAAAAAAGTAAAAAGATTCAAAAAAGTAATACTTGAGGGTACTTTTCTCCATGTCATTTCTGGTAACTTTGTCTAATTTTTCTTCCATTTTTAAAATGGAAGAAACTCACTCCCACTATCATTTGCACATGAAAGCATCAGACCTGCAGGATATTTTTCTTGCCTGAATGGGAAACCTGTATGTTTTAATTTTATGTTAATTTTCAGAATATGACAGGCATTCTTTAAGAAAAATACAAAAAAGCATCCCCCTTCCTACAGCAATGCATTTAATTATGCAAGCAGACAAACAAAGGATCCCTTTAGTGATTAGGGACTACAGTCAGCTAGTCAATGAGTTCTAACACTGGGTGGTAACTCATGGCAACAGGGGACACAGAGAAGACAGCAGGCTAGATACAAATAGCAGTCCATCTTGCTATTCAGCAGCAGACGGAACAGTACTGTAGTGGGAGAGAAAAAAAAAAATAATACAAAAACAACTCACACCAGAACAGCAATGAACCTGCCAGAAAGCACAACTAGACCACTGCTAGGAAAGGTTTAAATTATAACGCTCACTTCTTCCCTGCAACCTTGGTGCTCTTCCTTTTATTTTATGCCTTAAATTTTTGTTTAAGGACCATTTCAGTTTAGGTAATTTATTTCAGTTTTGGAGCCCTGAATCATCTTTTCCTATTAATAAAAAAAGAGTGTTGGGAAAAAAAAAGTAATCATTATCCTTACCGACTGCACAATTGATCGAGCATCCTCCTCACTGCAACAAAATGGGCTGCCAGTCACCAGCACATTTGTGCTGAAAAAGAAAAACATATGTTAGCGACCAGTGGAAACAAGACACGCAATTCGGCACCTATGGAAAAAACCCACCTTTGTATACAGAGCTCAGAAACGCCTATCTGTGAGAAATGAGGAAGTCAAAACCACGAAGTAACCAGTAATGCTGGAAGGGAACAGGGGTGTGGAGGGGTGCTCTTTGTGTCTTTGGATTTGAGGGGGCTTAGGCTGTACAGTCTGTATTAACACAAGCACTGCTCACAGTGCTTCTGGCAGCAAAGTTGGGTACAGTTCAGAGGATCACGGTTAAGAAACAAAATCCTCCAAAATGTCAGCAGAGATAATCTGGGACTTCCTGAGGGAGCTAAGGAACACCTAGATGGCTAGCACAGATGGTGTGAACATCCTCCTATCTACTGTGCCCTGAAGGATGGCCAGATTCCGTAGCAGGCCACCCTGGGTTTGCAGTAACCTGCCTGCAGTATCTAACAAGGAGGAGGAAAAACCAGTCAAAATTACACTCCTACGTAAAAGCAGCCGATAGCTGTACTGCTGCCAGAGTGCAGACAAACTCTGGGCCCACATACTGTGCAGAGACGTTCCCCTGTTGAATACATATCGGTCTGCACCAGAAGTAGCTTTAGTCATGAGTTTTTAAGGTCCTACACAGTAAATGGCAAAAAGTTCAATTCCTCAAAGCAGGCCTGCAATTTCAATTATTTTTTAATTTCATCAACATAAAGCTCAAAGTGCCTCTGAAACAATCAAGACCAAAATCTGAGTATTATCCAACAGTACTCTTGTCATGCTAAAGTAGAACCACCAACCTGTTCAACTGCTAAGGTGTTCAGTTAGCTCCAAAAAGGAGAGAAAGCCATATTTTCCCAGTAAAGCAGAAGATGACTGACTATGAGTACAGCTCCCCCCACAGCCTTTGCCTTCTGGTTTAGCTAATGCCAATCTACAGCCCTTGGAAAGCACCAGGCAAAGACACCTGCCTGCTCCTCATGGCCTTTGGTGCCAGTACTGCCAATGCAAGCCAGTCCAGAGAACTTAATAAAGTCCATTTTCATTTACATGAGGCCAAAGGCTAGTAAAGAACAATAATTTGACAATGTTGTTACAGAGAACAATTAAAAAATATAGAATGGTAAGCTGCAAAAGAATTTTTCAAGACAGCAAAGCAGCACTGAAGGATGGAATAAATAGAAACACGAGGATTTGCACGGGATACCAAGATTCTCTCAAAATCATCCCAAAGAACCACTCTGGGGCCATTTCTCAAACGCTGAAGTACTCTATGTCACTTTTATATAACCAATATATTTTTGGAACCATTTACCAGTAAGTCATCATCATACAAGTACTTCATAGTCTACTACCAATTATTAGCAATCAAAACCATGATAATTCCCGTCCTAAAGTAAAAGAATCTAAGCAGTGCATCCACAGCAGCCACATGTTGAATACCACCAGCACAGCACAACACAGAGAGGAAAAGATGTGACTAGATACTTACCACTTAATAGTGCCTCCATCAGCTTTTTTATGCAGCAAAGCTTTCCAGTATTCATGGGTAGATTTAATAATTTCAACAGCAAAATCCTATTTACATCAAGGAGAAGTTGTGTGAATTAAAATACAGAAAAAAAGCTGCAGAAATAGTTTTATATAATGTTTTATTAAAACACAGTTTCAGGTGTTATATTCAGAGGCCTCCTTCAAGGCCTCAATAAATTTCTGGAAAACATAACACCCTTTTTATGAAAAGAAACAAACTTCACTATCTGTTAAATATACCAGCAACACATTCAGGACTCTCCCTCTGTTCACAGCCAGAAGACACTAAGGCTGCACAAAACAGCAACAAAAAAAATGAAGTCAGCACTAGATGCTAAGCAGACACCTACAGCTGGAAAGAACAGTACCAGGTCCTAAATGGGACAAAGTGCACAAGCTATGATTCCTCTGTTACATGTGCACATCAGGATCAGAGTTAGGCTTTTCCTTCTAGTGGCAAAATTTGCATTTACTTTGTTAATTGCCCAATGATCAGCATTTCTAACAATGTAACACGTCAGCTGCTTAACAGTTTTTGTTTGTTTAAAACAAAAGTAGTATTGGGGGCAGGGTGGGGATAAAAATGCTTCAAAAAATAATGTAACATAAGGACTCATTGTCCAGATGATGATATCTAGTCTGGTTCACAAAAAGCTGCCAACAGACTACTCGCATTTCCTAACAAGGAGTGACTTGGTAAAATGCCACTGGAACATTGTGAACTTCACCAGAGCTGCTGGAGCACATCCACAGTCACCTCACCACATCCTGGGTCTCCAGAAAGGCTTGAGACTTACAAGTCCCCCAAAAGCAGCTTTCTCGGGCCATTTAGTGCCTCAGGCCTGAACCCCAATGTCCTGACAAGGATATACCATTAAACTGTCAAAATAGAGCAAGGCTCAGCTTTACAGAGTAGGAAAATCTCCAAGAGTAGTTCCTGGGCGAACAGGGGAGAGATGAGGCATGTCAAGCCTTACAACTCATTTCATTGATTCAAAGGACAGTTTTGGTGCAGAGGGGAGTCAGGGCATCGCATTCCCCAGACAAAACATGTAAAGTTGCCTGTGCTGGTTAGAAGGCATTTTATAACTTTGATAGCATACTGCAAAATTGAACTAGCTGACACACGGACATCATTCACTAGGAACCTGAGATTCTTTGCCAAAATTAGTCTGCAGAGAGCATGTAACACTATTTCCTCAGGGACTGGAACTGGGCCCAGTGCTGTGTAACACCACTGTCGGCGACAGGGACAGTGGGATTGAGCGCACCCTCAGCACGTTTGCGGAGGACACCGAGCTGCCCGGTGAGGTCAGCGTGCTGGAGGGAAGAGAGGCCACCCAGAGGGACCTTGCCGGGCTCCAGAAGTGGGCCCATGCGAACCTCATGAAGTTCAACAAGTGCAAGGTCCTGCACCTGGTTCAAGGCAAGCCCCAATACCAATACAGGCTGGGGGATGAAGGAGTTGAGAGCAGTCCTGAGGGGAACGACTTGGGGGTGCTGGTAGATGAAAAGTTCAACATAAGCCAACAATGTGCAAGTACAGCCCAGAAAGCCAACCCTATCCTGGGTTGCATTCAAGAGGTGTGGACAGCAGGTCAGCAGAAGTGATTCTCCCTCTCTACTTCACTCTGGTGAGACCTCACTTGGACATCCAGCTCTGGAGTCCCCAACACAAGAAGGACATGGATCTGTTGGAGTGGGTCCAGAGGAGGGACAAAAAAAATTGATCAGAAGGATGGAACACAAGTCCTGTGAGGACAGGCTGAGAGAGCTGGGGTTGTTCAGCCTGGAGAATACCAGGCTCTAGGGAGACCTTGTGGCCTTCCAGTATCTGAAGGGGGCCTACAGGAAAGCTGGGGAGGAACTTTTTACAAGGGCTTGCAGTGACAGGATGAAGTGTAATGGGTTCAAACTGAGAGAGTGTAAATTTAGATTAGATGTAAGGAAGAAGTTCTTCACTATGACAGTGGTGAGACACTGGAACAGGCTGCCCAGGGAAGCTGTGGATCCTCCATCACTGGAGGTGTTCAAAATCAGGTTGGTTTCTTGTGCAACGTGGACTAGTGGGAGCTCTTCCTGCCTGCCCATGGCGGCAGTTTAGAACTAGATAATCTTTAAGGACCCTTGCAGCCCAAATCATTTTATGATTTGCAAAGCACTTTTTTACTCAAATCACACCAAATTTAATCTGGAAAAATCCAGGTACTATCTTTAGTGAGGTCTCTTCCCAAGTCCACTCTCCTTCCAAACACTGACTATTTTTACTGTAAATAGTTTAAGATGTCATTCATTTTTTTCTTAAAAAGGGAAAATATTTTTTTCAGTGTTTAAGCCAAAAACAGTTCAAACATTTTACACAGAATTACCAGGAAGAAGTATAACCCGAGCAAATATCAAATATGAAAAAAATATGCAACCCACTGTCTCTCTCAAACAGCAAAGCCTTAAAAAAAAAAAAAAAAACACTCAGGAAAAATTTATCAATGAGGACAAAAAAAATACCTGAAAAGTCAATCTGTGAATGAAAATGCTGTGAAAACAAAACCCACCGACAAACACACAGATGCAGCAAGTTCCCTAATGATCCTACACTGTGTCAAAGTCTCATAAGGATTAGGACTGAATGGCTATTTTTGCATCCTTCCTTTAATAACCTATGCATTTTCCCTGAATAAAATGGAAGGTAGCAAATGGTATTTATTCCTGACCTCATAAATTGTACTTGAAGATCCCTCCAATAAGAATTTTTTTTTGTTAAAACTCTTCCTGCCTAATTCTAAAAGTCCTAAAATGTAATAAAGACGAAATGTGACAAAACAACGCATCTTTAATTTTGGATTATCTTCACCTTGTCTTTAAACTCTCCATTAAAAGCAAACTGATTTTCAGGTTTACCATCAGGGACTTTATATAATCGGAACCAGTCAACCGTAGCCTCAAGATAACCTGGTTTGTGCTTCTTGACATCATCAATATCTGTAGGTTAAAAATAAGAAGAAAAAAAGCAAAAGGACTGGTCATTTTACTCACAGTTTTTGTAACATTCATTTTTTAAAGTCTCAGATAGGATCTGCAAACAGTTTGATTTCACCGAGCACTTTCAAATTCATTAAGGAACTTCACTTTATTACAGAAGCTGTCCATAGTTGATATCTTATGATTTCATAACCACACTAAACAGGTAAAACATTTGCCTCCTGCCCTTTGTTGATTAAGGCCCAAAGGGACAATGAATACAAGGACTATACTTATGACAGGAGAGGAAGAAAATTCTGTTTTTACAGGCTTTCATCTCAGTAGGTACCTCTTGCAGTACTCGGATTATTCAGTGAGTTAATTTTTTCCCCCAGCAACTGCAGGGACCACAGGCATTTTGTGATAATAAAACAACAGCTAGTGAAACAAATTTGAACACACTAATTTTTAAATCAGTGCCTCAAAACAAAACACAGGCTTGACTTCTTGAAGTTACACTAAAGGCATCCCTCTGCTCACATTACTTCCGAATTCAGTCCGTTAGGTACAAGCCAGACGTGTACCAGGAGCATTAAACACAACTCTCCAGATAACCCTGTGATGTCTGCATCTACTCCCCGAGACAACCCAGTTCTGCCTTTGCCTCTATAATCCTGCCACGCAAAGATGGGACAGCACACGCAGAGGAAGACGTGCTCCTTGCAGGACACCCTTGGCAGGCAGAGATGAATGCTGTGGCCACAGTGGGTACTGAGAGTTCAGTCCGGCAGCAGTTCTGCTCGAGGGCTGCACTGCTATAGCAAAGACAGTTCCTGATGTCTGTTTCTGCTGTGCTTATCAGATTTTACTGGGTTGTCCTGGGAGACTACCATCACTCCTGTCACCCTCAGTGAGGTGGTCCTAGCACCCCTTAGCAAATTATCTCTCTGGCAGTATGTTTACATGGAAAAAACTCTTCAATACAATTTTAATTGATTTTGATACAATAAAGGATTTTGTCCTCTCCAGAAGCCAAATGCTTTTTGGTGCCAGTGTAACCCTCCTCTTTGCATCTATTTCCCTCCTGCAGTCACTTCTGATGGAAATGGGACCTGACCTATTGTTGCTGTGGTTTGGATGCCATCTTCTACCTATTTCATAACCTCACTCTGCCCAGGCCACCTTTCATGGTGTTACTCGCCATGTTACTTCTCTAGTGTTTTGCAAGCCTCCTGCTCTTTTGCCTCTTCCTGATTCCCTCCTGCTTGGCTGCTTCATTCTCTTCTCCCAAAGATATGCCCCACTAACATCTCCTGGTTGGCAATGACTACTGATGGACACTCTTCTGTCTATCCAGTCCTATAAAACAGATTTTCAGAGTTGCTTAGTCCACAGAATTGACACCTAGTTATGTACTTTGCATCTTTAAGTGCCTAAAAGTCTTTTTAACACCTAGTCTGTGAACCTGAACAAAGACATGCAAGTATTTCTAAAAGAGAACAGTCAGAGAAGGGAAAGTCTTGTGCTACAGACCACTCAATTCTCTGAAGACCACCAAGAAAGATGACATATGGACTGAACTGTGAGACCAAACCTACATGAGAAGATACACTGAGTGTTCATAAGCATCTGACAGATGCCACTCCCAAATTCCAGTGGATCACACACCACCCAAAGAATAAAACGTAAAACTTTGAAGAACCTAATGTAAATTTTTGATTCTGCACGCACTTAATAGGGCTACGTGTTTATGGACTCAGAGTAAAACACATTTTGAATTTGGCTGCTGGCCATCTGCCTGTAGAAGATTAGGGAGTTGCATTGGCAGAATCCCAGAAAAAAACAAGGGCATGTAAGGCTGTGCTAGAGGCAGGTCTCCTAGCTGGAATATACGTTTAAGAGTACAAGAAGGCTTTCACCGGAGTGGCTGGGTGAGACCAACCAAGAAGGAATGACTTAGAAAAGGGTGGGGTCTTCGCTGGAGGCAGGATGCTTCATTTGGGCACTAATAAAACTGCAGCTCCAATTCAAACTGGTTTCAGGGTTCCAGTGTATCATCCTGTCCTCTCCAAGCAAGGGAACAGCCCTCCTAACTTCGAGCCCTTGTCATCTTCTCCTCTTGTGAGGTTTGAACTCACAATTTCTAGTACTTGTTGAAAAGACAGTATCTCCTCAAGTCTGTAAAGCAAACCAGGCTGCTGCAGCAATTTCCTTGTCTCCTAGCAGTGGATGAACTCCAGATCTCCATCTCCAGACATGACTTAAATTCAAGCATACTTTCTCAGACTGCTGCTCCTTTTTTTCTGGTTCCTGTTCAAGCACACTTCTCTCCTAACTCTGCTTCTCCATTCCTCCTACTTGTTATTTGCCTCCTATTCCCATAAAAACTGTTCATCAAAAGTATTCTAGTGTCAACTGACACTCAGGCCCTTCCTCACCTGTTGTTCCTTATTCACAGGCTTTGTTTATATTTTTTTTAAGGACTCAAATATTAGACTAGGCTTTGAGGCAGGTTTTCATTACCTCCTTAAAATAGGAATGACCATCTTCATGGACAGAATCATCTCTCCAAATTTCACACTTTCTCTGCCGGAAAATACCTTGCCTTGGTAAAACAACCATACAGAATCACGCTGCAGCATTACATGGCCCCTAAGGTACTGGCTGCTGTATAATGCTTTTGAGGACTTAAGAAGGGGAATGGTAGTTGCCTTTATTTCCTTGGTTCCTGGCAAGTTATTCTCCTTCATCCCTATACTTCACTTCACTATTCTTTATTATGAAGAACAGCTACTGGGCACCAAATGAAGCTTAAATGGTTTAGGAAAAGAAAAGAAAAAACAAAACACAACAAAAACATCTGTATAATAATGGGACTCGGTGGCAAGAAGCAGGAAGAAGTGCAACCGTGTAACAGGAAAAAAAAATATAGATCCTGTTGCTGTGGAGTCAGCACATAGCACAAAAGGTAAGGAAAACAGCATCGCCTGCATCACTCAACAGCTACCTCTTCAGTTCATTAAAAAGCATCATAGAAAAGCTTGAAAGACAGCTTGTCCTCCACTTTGAAATCTGAACAGCCTTTTTCTCCATCAGGGGAGATGGAGGAAAATATATTCAGAAAACAGAAAAGTAAGCAAAGAAGGTAAAAGAAAAAATCATGTCAAGCAGTGCAGTTCTTTACTGCACTAATATCTATAGAAGATAGCTACCTATTATGAAAAGACTTGGATGTCTTTTCTGAAGCAGATGCTGTTAGACACTTTTAGACACTCTTTTTTCTGACCCTGACTGCTTACCTTCCTAGAGCTGCATACTCACACTGCTGCCAAAAGGGGCTAAAGAAGCAGAGGAGTAGGAGGCAGGTACCTGGCCTGGTAGAGGTCTCACCTCTGTGAGCAAGCCCTGCTCAAGTGTTACAGAGCAGAATGCACCTGCAGAAGCCTGACCTTTATCAGCACGTACCCTCTGGGCTCTAGGCAGTCCTTTCTTTACGCTGCCTACATACAAACATTGGCCAATTTCTCTTGGCACCAAAGTTTAAGCACCAAGGGTTAAGAAGAGAGGGCTAATCACATAAAGGGTTGCAGTTTATTCTCAATAAGGAAAGTCTCTAGAGGTTGGCACAGACAACTGCTGCTAGCTCTCTGTCAAGGGAGTGAGCCAATGCAAATGCAGAACCTAATTCTATCTGGCTTTACAAAAGAGCAACAAAAGCATTTGTACCCAACTACCATTTTTAGTACAACAGATGCTGCTTCTTGCAAGGAAAGCTAAAACTACATGCTTGCAGCAAGCTTTTTAAACAAGGTCTGTGGGAAGAGGGGACATATGTTTTTAATAACATCTTATAAACATTTACAGGAAGCAGCAGCTACATTCCATATAAAGGCATTTGGTGTGTTTTGTGCAGCATGGTGTCAGGGGGTAGGAGAGGAGCCTCAGTACAGATAATTAATTTCTTTATATTGAATTCTTATAAAAACCCACAATAAAGGTCTTCAGGGCCTCTGCTGCTTCTCTGCATATAAATACACTCACATGCAAGGGTCTGTAACAATATATGGTACAAAGTATGCAGTATGCTTTGGTTTTGCCATTTAGGGTTTGATCCCTTGACTCGACCTCAGAGCTGCACACTGAAGAAGCAGCAAGGCAGCACAGCAGCGTCAACTGCTCCAGCACATGGTAGCACAACAAAGTCGGGAGCCATCACCAACTGCTGTTGGACATATCCTGGCACCTTTCCAAGTGAGCAATAGCAAAGAACAGCTGCTAAAATTCCAGGCCAGTAAATTACCCCCAAAGTGCCATCCAGCATGCAGGAGTTGTCCAGTTTGCTCAGGGAAGCTAAGATGACCTTTTGAGAGCCAGGGTTTTGCAAGCTGCTTCAAACATGCTTCCTGCTTCGATTTTCAAAACCTTTTGTCCAACATGAAGATGCCACATACATTTAGACCAATTTACAGCACAAAAATATCGCTCATCCTTTTTGAGCCAAATCTTGTAAAGCACATCAGATATGTATGTGAATTCCAGTATATTAAATTCAATACAACAACCACCACCAGCCAGGCCTATTCCACCACCAAGACTTAGCGGTACGGTACGCAGGGAGCTTTTAGGCCCTTTCCCAAACTTGCTTGGTAACTGAAGTTGCTTTGCTGGTCTGCTAATGGCCATCTGCCTAGCAACTGTTTGAACAGAAACACAACACAGTGGCTTTCAGGTAGCCACAAAAATCTTATCAACGTAGATAAATCTGAAGGTGTCCAGTTTTTGTCTAAAAGATGCTTTCTCACACGGGTACCTGCATATAGCTTGTATCTGGAGTGAGATTGTCCCCATGCCCACCAGTATGAAGAGCTATAATTTCCAGCAGATTACCTTTCAAAGTCAGTCCAAAAAGACACTAAGCTCCTGCTATTTCCACTGATGACACAGTTCCCACTTAAATAGGCGCTAAGCATTGCTTATCATTCCTGGGTACTATCACAATAAACTAAGAGTTTGTCATTGCTCTGTGTGAAAGAGAGTTCTAGGCAGGGTTTCCAATTTAAACTAGTATTTATCAATAAATGCCTGCAGGACACAGTACAGTGGAGTGCTATGAATAAACAATGAGAACTGCTCAGAAGTTGGGACTGCTCAGTTTTAAGTTCTGTGAAGTCTCAGAAAAATCAATTGCACTTATGAGAAAGATCACAATCCCAGAAGGAGAACACAGAGTACCTGGGGTGCGCTTAAAGCAGCAAGAGGAGTTAACACGCTGCGCGGGCTCAGGATGGGGTTGCCAAGTAATCACCACTCTGGTGTCTCGGAATTATCTTTTCCAAATGTTCACTGGGGGCTGTGCACATACTGAGCTGAAAGCAAATGTGATTATTCTCAGTCCAATTTAAAATGTTTAGCAAATGACAAAAGTGACTGGACAGACTTAGAAGGCAACACTTAACTTCATCTGTCCCTAGGAGGTCACCACCGTAACACAGTGGCATGTCAATTACTGAGGGAGATACCAATTTCATCTGTAGCTGCCATCCCTTTGTGCTGAAATAATTAACATCTTTTGGAAGGGGGAAAAACAAGTATAAAAGGACATATTGTACTGCCTACTCCAACAGATTTGTTTGTTTTTGGACTGAAGAAGTACTGCTGTTAAACACTGCAAGCTAGTCATGTTCTATGAAAGCAGATGGGGGCTTTTTTTTCCTTCCCCTTTTTCTTTTCTTTTGTAAATCCTGGACTGCAACTCCAATCCCAAAGGGAAATCATATTAAACTTAACAGTTCTGCACTTCTCTGAATCTCAGGAGGACAGTTTTCTTTTTTAAGTTTTGCACCTATTCTCTGGTAAGAAAAGATGCACACAGGAATCAAAAACGGGCAATAGTGTTTTGGTGTGGGTTTTTTTTTTTTTTTCCCCTCCCAAACAAACTAAAGCTGTAATAGAGCTAACATAATTCAGTGGTTACCCAAGAAAAACCCAAATTAAACAGAGTGCTTTCAAATAGAGCTACACAACCCAGTGGCAAATAAAAAACTGTCCCAGTTTTGCCCCTACTCAGTGGGCTCCTTTTAAATCCTCACACCCACTTTTCTGATTAAACTCTCTCAGAAATTGTTAAGGAAAAAAGGTAAGAGTTAAACAGAACAATGTATAAAGTGCTAATTATTTGTCTTAACTATTGACATTTATATCACATTTCACTGCACTTTAGAGAGGTTTAAATTGACACTAACATTAACAGCAAGCTATTACTTACTATTTCCTTAAGCTGAACTTCTTAATCTCTAACTCCCAAAGTAGTTACAGAGGCAAAACCACTATGTAGTAATTCATCTGCCCAATGATTTTAATCAGCATCAACCTAAGAGTTTCCTTTTCTTCATTTTCTCTTCGCCCCTTCCTTCCCCACAAGCCAAGTATTCTCCATGTGAAAGTAACCTGAAAGAAAACTGAGAATGAAGGGCCAGTCCAGTGATGTATTTACTTTGCATTCAGAAACCAGGAAAAAGCCCCAACTGGCTCAGAAACCGAATTCCTTAAAAAGCTACTGGATAGCCCTATTCATACAGAAAGGCTGCTCTGTGCCTTGGTGTTTCCTACCAACAAAGAGCAGGCTCTGACTGCACACACCTCATAACAATCACTGACTTTTAGACAAACCTCCTCCCTCAATTCTCATGATTCCCAGTAACTGCATTTGAGGAAGTGAACCTCCATTGATCCAGACAAAAGCTGTCCTTCACCTGTGCTGTAAAAACCTAACTCCCAGTAGTTTTAACAAATCTGTATCATCTTCTCACTGAACAGTCTGCAAGTAGAATTAACACCTCACGTGCTACTCACATAGCCACACTTTAGTATGTGAATTCCAGAAGCATGGGCACAGAGAGGACAAGTCTGGGCAGGACATTTCCTCCTGCACAGCTAGTCATCATGAAGGCTGATATTAGGCTTAGCTGCATTAGCAGTTTACTCTGCAAATATTCAAGCTCAAAGGTGAAACCTAATTGTTCACATTAGGCAACAAACCCCGGAAGTAGCCCAGATAGAAGTAACAAAATGTTGGAACCTTACAGCTCTCTCCAGAAGGCAGCACAATGCCTGCAAGTATAAAAGGAACAAACACTTTCAACATGGAAAATAGTGTGCTACATAATCTGAGTGGGTAAATATGCATTATTACACAGGAGATATGCCTGCAATTTTAAGAGGTCATTTTCTAAGGCAGCTGTGTTTCAGAAGTCAAAAGACTTTCTGCATGACATCTTGACCATCCAAGTGAACCTTTTCAAAAGCTTAGTGTGAAAGCATATATATCCTCCTTTGAAGGAAGCACCTGATATTAACAACAACAAAGAAGTCTTGCCTTTCTGCTGTCTGCCTCTTCTGTCTTGGGTGGCCTGAACTTGGGTAACATTCTACTGTGCAAGATGCTGACATAACTTGCATTAAGAAAGATAAAAATACTTGCCATGGATTTTCTGAGCTTCTGGATCATCCGCACTGATAGCGATTATCTTCCAATCTGTCTCTCCTTCATCAATAAGAGCTAAAACACCCAAGACCTTCACCTGAACAATCTCGCCAGAAGAACGAATCTGAAATAGCGTATGCCACAATGAGTTGGAAAGTATTACACAGAACTTCTCTTTAACATTATAGACAAAATACTTCTACTACATTTTCGACCAGCAGTAAAGAGAACTCCAAGATGTATCTGTAAACCCAGTGTACACCTATTTAACATTACCAGCCTTTCTCCCACTATTGCTATTCTTGAACCCTCAATTCTCCAGTCAGCATTTCTGTAGAAGACAAGCTAGAAAAATTCTTCCTTCTCTTCTACTCTGCTTCCCCCATACAGCTTCTTAATCTTCAACCCAAACTGCAAATCAAAAGTATCTCATATTCATTTGTAACTCATTCCTGTCCCTTGACTCTCCACCTTCTCAACTTTTAGTCTTCATCTATTTCTTGCTGTTCCCTCCTCTAGACTTCAATACGCCTATTTAAACACATATCCCCTCCCCAGCACTATCAGCACAACCCTTTTTTCCATTTTCTTGGGAACTTTCTCCCTACGAGCTGATAGTCCCTTTATTAATTCTTTCTGGATCCCTTGAAATTCAGCTTTGGTTTCCTTTCATCAAATAAAGCCACTCTTGGAGAGATCACAAATTGAATTTCCCCTTATGTAAAATATCCCAAGACATCCTTCTTCCAAACTCACCCATTTCAGAACCCCATCTTGGATACCACAGATTGCTCCATTCTTTGCTGCCTCCATGTATAGGCAAAATATTCTTTCAGTGAACTAAACCTTTCCATTATATCTACTACTGGTATAATAAAGGTGTTTGCTGCACCTTTTTTTCATCCATCTGCTCTGTATCTCATAACTCCGCAACACCACAACAGGTTTCCTTCTTCTCTAGAGAAAAGAGATCTACTGTTTGCATCCATGAGAAAACTAAAACGTATCTCTTTTGTGGGTCTGACCTTGTAATTTTATGTGCATGATGCTGACACACTTCATCTTTCCAGCTCTGCTAACAATAGAAAAAGAAAGAAATCTTCTTCCTCAAAAATCTTAACACCCTCCTCCATCACCCAAACTTCACTTTTCAGCCACAGAACTTCAGGGGTGTGTTCTCTTATTGTCTCTTTTAACCAGTACACAGACTTTACCAAAATCTATTTTTTTCTCTTTAAAAATTCACCATTTCCTTACCCGTTCCCTCCTCAAATCATCTATTCATACTTCTGCCATCCCCTAAGACTATTAACATATTTTTTTGTCTCCCATCTGCCCTTCCCTTTCAGAAGGTGTTACCAAGCTATTAAATTAACCTTGATAAATTAAATTAATCTTGATAAGACAAACCTTTGAACCTATTTCACAAACATCAATAGGATCATTATCCCCACAACATCCTGTAATGTCGTCTGTATGGTTTGGATCTTCCCACGTCTGTTAAAGGAAAGAGAATTATCAATTATCAAATTAGCTGATCTGAAGTTATAAACTGTCTAACCACTAAATTACTAAGAGTAATAAAAGCACCAATAAAAGCATCAGCTTTCTGAGAATGAGCTTGCTCAATGGGAAAACAAGACAAAAAAAACAGACAGTGGCCTGACATTGAGTCATCCTCATACTCAGGACAAGTAACATGAGGGTTACTGAGGACATAGTAACAAAAATATTAACTGCATCTGTGACTCAATAAATACCCTTTATCAAATTGCAGTGGTGAGGCATCAGAGGACCTTGAGTATGTATTTGTCTGGTTATCAGTGGTTGTGGGATTAAGCTAGGACATCCTAGAATTACATTCTTACTCTTAAATACTCTTTAAATAACCCAGCACTAACATGAATTGCTTCCAAAAAACATCTAGGCTCTGAGCTCCCCAAGCTGGTAGGTATGGACTTGTCACCACGCAGTTGGCTTGTTAGAGGTTTTAGATTTAGGTATGAAACACTTCCAAGTACTTTGAGATATGTATATTCCCAAGGACAGCCAACAGATTAAGACCGAAGAAGTTTCTCTGGAGGGCTCATTCAAATCCCTGGTCTGAACTCTGTACAAGCAAGGAATCATCACCACTTTATCCTAACTTATTTACTAGAACAGCAGTAGTCTAGTCTCTTACTGGCTAGTAATGAGTAACTCGTTCTAAAGTTGAGAGGTCTTCCCGGTAAGACTTTTGAGTCCAATGAATTTTTGTTGAAAAGGTGTTAGAAAATGTTTTTCCAAGGAGCCATATATACTGTTAGCTCCTGCTGTTCATGGTCATACCTTCACCTCAAATTTGTTCTTGAGAACTTGACTGATACTAAAAGGCAAAATGGGGAAAAGCAAATGCTCAGGTCTTTAGGTAGCAGAATCGTTACCAAAGCATTGCTGAACCAGACCTAGGAGAGAACTGAAACTTAAAACTTCTGAAGTGCTTTTTACTTAAGGCTGCACTATATCAGTACTATTCTCCTGCCCAACAGCACCTCTCCATCTGTAGGTTAGACAGAAAGCCCACTAAGAACAGTACTGTTCTCTAGAGAGTACAGCAGCTCCTGCAAGAATGACAGTCCCACTAACATTTTCTTCTTCTCTGCTCCACAGCATAAAACAGCAGCCACAAGTATCTATCTTTAAGCCAGATACTATGGTTGAACTTCTGGCAACTGCTGATCCTGATGAAAAGTCCTCTTGTGATTAACAGAGATACTGAATTTGGGCTTGTTTGTTACAGCTGCTAGTAAAAATCTAGAGTTTCACAGACTTCAAAAATCTGAAGTGTAATGATCTAACTGGTATTTTAAAGTTATTACAGAAAATAAATATTAACAATTATCTCCAGCCCTCTCTGACTCACAAGGTAACAAGGAAAGCTTAACATTTCTCCTGAGGAAAGTGTCATCGGTTCAAAATAATGCAGTTTGTACAGGCAAATATTCAAATTTTAATTTTAGCTTTGTACTAAGGCACACATGAATTTCAAAACATTAAATGGAACTGCTGGTTCCCAGCTCTGTCTATTTGGAAACTTTGTTGACTTGAGACTTCTGGCTGGATTAGGAGTTCAGTCATACTCCAGCACCTGGCTGGGATCTCCTCTTCAGGGATCAAACACACAAGCAGATTTTCAAGAGTAAACTTTCATTGCTTATGCAGTTACACGTAAAGAGAAGAAATTAAGTCATGTTCTTCAGTACTAATTTGAGTCCAATGTGTTATTCACAGAAATTAAAAATATTTTAAACCCCACTTTTTGTTACATTCAAAATTTCAGCTCAGTTTTAGTTGGGCTTTTTCAAGGCTCAAAGTTTTGAATGTGTCACGATGAATAAAGTCTCAGTTCAGAGAAAAGTTAACGAAGGCAGTTAAGGTTTAATCTAAAAAAAGAACAGCCCTTCTGTTCTTCTTGGTTAAAGACATTAAGAAATCCCCATTAAATTTACAGTACAACACATGAAAATTCTAAATTAGTTTCTTTTTAAAAAAATGCCTTGTTTAAGCAGAAAAGGGCTACTTGACAAAGTATTCTTAAATGGCAGACCCTGACAGTTTAATTCGGTCAGTCAAGTACAGAGACACAGACTGAAGATTTCTTGATCATTTAACTCCTTCTTGAAACGCAGCACATATTTACACCCACACCCAAAATTTATGGACACAATAAAGCTCAAATATAAAAAAAATCCTAATTTATAAATGTATCAGAGAGAAACATCCCTCTTTCGACTGATTTGCATTCAGACAGTACCCAAGATTTACAAGGCAATTTACAAAGAAGACAGAAAACTTTCACCATTATAACAAAAATGTTACCTGTGGGAGGGCACCATAATTCCATATATAACCCTTGTGAGGAAAGATATTTGGCACATATCGAAGCTTGCCTTTCTTTATATCTTGTTTAATGGGATTCAAGGGCTCCTCAGTGGCAATCTAAGCAGATCGTGAAAAAGAGAGAGAAAAAAAGAGAATGGTGAAATGGAAAGCAATTCATTCTGTATCCAACCAGCTAGAAAGATCCATCTGGGAGTGTGTGCTTGTGGTTTGAGAAGTATTAAAAGTACGATGGCCTCAATCTAAATCTCAAGGGTCGTTTTCAAAAAGCAGCTTATTAAGGTTTTAAATAACATTCTGAAGCATGCAAGAAAAAAATGAATCTAGAAAAGAAAGTCATAAAATTCTAAGGCGACTGTCATGATCAAACATAAATACTGAGAGGAACTTAAGTTAGATGCTCTTGTGCTTTATAACACAAGTTTGACAGACACACAAATGGTGGCACAAGTTCTGACAACAGGGGCTTTGACAGAAACATGGGAAATGTTTCATCTTCTCACCCTCTGTTCATTGCTTTTCTGTTGCACACATCCCTTCTCTCTACCACCTCTAAGGATACAAATGCTTTTTATAGTAAGCACAAGTTCTGCATAGTCACCAAATGCCAACCTCACGCAGGTTTGGGACAATTTAAGCCAGCCATTAAGTTATGCCATTAGAAGAAGGCATTCTTGCTCTCAAAGAAGCACTCACAGAAGGACTGAAACTCATTAGAACTGAAGAGTTTATTATTGCCATCATCCTCCTGAAGTCTCAAATACAAACCCACTGCCACATAAGTTACCTACCACACATCACTGTAACCATCCTTTTGACACTCCACACCACAGCCCAATCCATGTCAGCTTGGCTCTTCCTTACAAGCACTCCTCTGAATGACATCGCATTTGTTAGAGGCTCCAGTGGTTGCTCTGGCTCAGGTGGTACAGAGCTTGTGTGTATAAGCACACAGCCCTTGGCCCATATTCATTTTACAACACCCTTGTAATTTACCTAGAGCACTGCCACCGAAGCCATCCCAAAGGAATTCCACCTTTTTGAACCAGATCAAAGTGTCAATAACACACACTTATTCCAAAAGTAAACTCTTTCCAAGAGCTGAGATCCAGGTTCACACATTCTTGGTTTCACATGTGGTTCTACCTGCTTCTGGTCATAACTTAACAGCGAAGACCTCAAATATACCACCTGGGAATTCGACAGAAGCAGAGCTCAGCAACTTCTCTTGATGCAAACCCTGACAAAGAGGAGTAACTGACAACAGCCAATGACAGTCTCACAAAGCACCTTCAGTAACGTTAAGGGAAGAACAAGAGAAATAGAGCAAACTGATGAGCAGGAGCTCTGGCCCTGCAGATGTTAACAGTGGGAAACATTCATTTTAAGGCAAGGTTTAATCTCCTACAGTCTCCACTGTATGCGAGGGAATCTCAGCACAGAGATGCAGACAAGAACTGGTACCAGCACCTTGCCACAGTCTGGACTGAAGGACTGTCAGGACACAATGGCAAGGCAAGACAACGGCCTTAATGGTTAATGCAGGACATGTCAAGTGGACTAAAAGTTACAGAGAACTACATCTGGTCTTGTTATCAAGCCAGGAAAGTCTGAAGTCATTGATTTCTGAACCTAATGGGACAGCAAACTTTTCTACCCTTGACATAATGTGCCAAGAGAAGGGGAGAGAGAGCAACCTGAACTTCATGCAGAGTTCAAATAGCATTGTCAAAGGGAAATGCTACATAGGAGAACTCTGCTTCCACAATCTATCGTCATCTTATAATATAAGGTAAACATCCAAGGTAACCCTGCTTGCAGAATAACAACTGTAGTGGTAAACACAATTCAAATGATTTTTCCAGCACCAGGGAAAGCAGAGATCTATCATTTCAGAATTTTGTTAATAGGCTGGGGAGGTTCTTTGACATTATTTTTAATTATCAAAATAATTAACAGCTCAACCACAAACTTCCTTAAAAGCATCCAGGTGGCATACCTAAAGCACCAATGCTCAGGATCATTGGATACATCCTGGTGAGATCTGTGGTTTCACCAACACTACACATGAAACACTACTCAGCTTCTACATTGTAACTGCAGAGGAACAAGCCACTAAGCTCTACTGTTAAAACCTCTCCCAGCAGAACTAGGCACTCTCAATCATTGAAGTCCTCAAGTATTTTTTTTTTTTGTCACAAGGAAATGCTTTTTCATTTGCAATTCCATTTGTCAGGATTTGGCCTAGCACACTACACAGCTCAAATGAGAGGAATAAATCCTCTTGAGTGGAATGCTCTGGAGGCAAGAGTAAGACTAATTGTTAGACAATGTCCTGCAAGCCACTACCCTAGGACTCCGTTGCAGGTATGCTGCACCCTGCAGTCAGAAGACTGTAAAGAAGCAGTGCTCACAGATGGAGGGGAAATAAAATTACAATCTTGACACTTTTTAGTAGTTGCATTAGTAGTTGCAAAGAAAGTACCTGTATGTACAACTTCAAATTGATTTTTTAACACAGAAGATTTTATGTGTAAAAAGTAATCCACACACAGATCAAACTGACTGTTTGAAGCCACTGCATTATCATAATTTTCATAAATACCTATATAATCAAGGTATTTTTCTTAGTTACCTCCATTTTTGCATTTGTCCAACGAGGCACTTCTACAATCATATTAAACAGGACCTAAACCAAAAAACAAGACAGAACTGAAAATAACATCCATTTGGCAATTAGTATTCTATAATAAGACAAATTGTCTCCTCCACATTCAGTAGCAACACACTTTGCATCTCTCTGTTCCAGCTGCTTTTGTACATTTGTACTTCAAGTACAATCTGTTTAGTTCCACACAACGATAGTCAACCCTCTTGGTTCATTCTTTCCCCACCCCTCTGAGAATATGAATAACTACAAGTAGTGGAAACTCACATGATGTTTTTTCATTCCCATGTCAATATTATTTTTCACAAAATGGTCATGGAATGTTTCAGTCTACTAGTCAAAGAGGACTGGATGTTTCTATAGGACAAAGTTAGTTTTCCTCAAGCACTGGGAAGGACAATGCTTTTGTTTCTTCCCCTAAGGTTTTATTTCTTCATGTCCTCCACTTTAGCCTCATTCGATTCTTAAAAACATGCAAACACAACCACCACTAACATTTCTGAGTCTCAGTCAAATCTGGCTGAAGCGAGGCAAAATGAATCCAAAAGTGATGGACAAAGACACCTCATGTTTGCATCAGCCTTCTTCCTAATAGAAACAGAGTCAAAGTTGTTTTAAGAAGGGGACTGGGGGGGTGTGTGGAATAAACCTAAAAAATGTAATTTTTCAATGCTTTCAGAAGAAAAATAAGTAATATACTCCTTTCTTACTGTGGAGGTTAAAGTGACATTTTCCAAAGAGAAAAAAAAACTAACTGCTGCAAGGTTTCTTCTTCTGAAGCTGTCAAGAGTTAAGCACTACCAAGGAGTATTAATTGACTGGGATAACTAGACCAAGCCACCCAGCAATGTCTACAACCTATTTTCTCATAGGTTACTCAAATAACCCCAAAATATCACATTTCCTAGGACATCTCTTCATAGCCAAAGGAAACTCACTTCGCTATTAAAAACCACAACAGTTCAGGAAGAACAAGGTATGTTTTTGCAGAAATTTGTAGGGGGAAAAAAAGTGAAATCAACTGAAGACTTGCACTGACTCTAACTACACTGCAATTAAGGTTCCAGCTGACTTGTAAATTATTTACATTTTTATTTTTTGCTCCTTGTATCCTGCAGCTGCAACAAACAAATACCACTACCAGGGTCAATGTCACAGTCTGATTAAAGTAATGGTTCTATAATCTCTCCTTCCAAATTAACCTCAATTGTGGAAAACAAGAAAGTGAGGGGAAATCCCAGCTGTCACTCAGCATTTCTCCCATGAGATCACAAGCTATGCATGATCCTGACACCAAATTGCAAGTAAATTTAAATTAAATTTGCCATCCATAAGTACCATGCCCATACTGCAATCAGATGGAATAACTTTTCTCAATCAGGTCATAAACAAATAAAAAAAAAAAAAAAAGAAAAAAAAGATGCTTCAGATAAGTTTCATAATTTACACCTTATGTATATAAGAACAGTTGAAACAGAGAAGCAATCAGAAACAGTGCTCCGAGATGTCAATATTAAGAAAGAACATAGAACTAAGCAACATACATGCAACAGCAGTTAAGGGAAGGGTTGGAAGAGAGCCATAAAGTCTGCACATTCACCTGGGAAACACTTGGAAAAAAAGAAATGCACAGCATGAAAGCCAGTGCTGACAAGAAACTCTTAGGGAACTGCCAAGCAGGTCAAAGAACTGTTCTGACTGGTAGCTACAGGCATAAAACTTACAGACTGTTCCTGGAATTATATATAATGTCTTCCCCCCAACCACAATTCTGTATTTTTGTTGTTTAGATGCCACCATATGTTTTTGTGACTATGTCTAATACAATGGCTTCAGCAGCCTGTAAATCTTGGGTTTGAGCTTTAATTGAACAGAAGTCATTCCAGGTCTTCATCAAAGCAAGCCTCAGAGTTGGACAGCAACTGGACTGAAACGAATACAATATAGCTCTCAAAAACAAACAAACAAACAAATCACTGGGATTTAACTGAGCTCTAAGACCAGGCCTCCATAATTTGTGGTATCAGTCAAATGTGTGTTATCAAAAGTCTTAAACGTGACAGCCTGACAGATTAATTTGTATGCAAAAAAATCCCCGAAAGTACACTCTCTAATGCTAAGCTGCCACAGGCATTTACAAGAGATTAATAACTTCATGCAGTGCTTACATTTAAAAATAAAAAGTTTTATTTATAGGGCAATCACATTTTCACAGTGATGAGACAGGATTCACTGGTGTGGAAAGGACAGCACATACCAGATCATTTGACAGATGGAAAGAGAGAATGATACCTCCCTGGTTTTTTTTTGTTTTTTTTTTTTTTCCCTTCTCTTCCTTATCCTATCCTGTTTCCCTCCTTGTCTAAGTATCACTCAGGAATTTTTCTATCATTCTTATTCTGTCAGACCAAGCACCTACTCCTTCTGACCACTTGAATGTTCTCCCCTGTCCCTTGCTGCAAACCCATCCCTGCCTCAGCTGCAAACAGAAATGCAAGTGTCAGACACCACCTGTGTCCACAGATTACATGATCTGCATGTGCCATTCAGTGGTTAGTTTTGGATGGTGAATGCATCTGGTAAAGGATATTTTTATCTTTATTTAAATCAGTAAAAAGAAAAAATTTCCACCTCACCAAACCCCAAACTGAGCACTTCCACTCCCTCAAGCAATGGTGAGATTGTTTCAACAGCCCATTTGACACACCTTCCAGTAACAGAAAAAACACCTCTCAGGAAAGGAAAACTATTGCTCTGGGAAGTATAAGTGCCTCCGTACGACAGCAGCCAATAGCTCTGCCTATGAGATTGCTGCTTGCTGCAGTGCAGCTTTAATCCAGTTCTGCAAGCGCCTGATGTGGATGGGACCCCACTTCACATCAGCACGCTGTACAACAAGCCAGATGGAGTAGCTCCTACAGGCTAACCTCATGCCAACTCTGCTGGCTGATGCTTTCTTCAGAAGGACAATCTCCTGGAACATATAATGAAAGAGAAGGAGACAGTTCCTAGATTCAGAAAAAGAGACAGAACCCATCTGCTAGAGGAGTTGACCTGACAGAGCCCAGAGGGACTTTCAACCCAGGGTATTACGTAGCTTGTTTGACTACGTTAATGTGAACACAAGACAGACATTTGTACTTAGGCTCTATTATACCTTAAGAACAACAACAACCCAAAACACAAAACCAGACAAACCCATTTGCTCAATACAGAGAAGGCAAAAGTGCATTTCCTAATTCCTAAAACTGAATATAAGAATCAGCAGAAAATGACATCAGAAGGAACAACCCGTGTGTCTAAATGACATCCTTTGTTTCCTAAGAGCTACATGCTAAGCACACTACATGGGAATTCACGTAGGCTGTAAAGTGTTTGCTTCATCAGGGGGGTTTCTTTAACGCTGCTTGGCAACCTGCTGCATTCCATTTCCACTGAACAGCATTTCTAACGTATCACGATATCATTTTTGCCAAGACAAGCAAAAATGTCTCTCTTTCACATAGAGAACATGAACAGGTTTTGTTTTTTGAAATAAGAAAAGCACAGAAAGCTAAAAAGATATACATATAAACTTCAACATATTCATACAGCAAGTGTTGAGACAAGCAAGAAAAATATAGACACTTGTACCCAGGTAAACTGGGAGTCTCTATTGAGACTGACAGTCAAAATAACTACTAGCTCTGGCTGTACAGATTCTTATAGAAGGTAAGACATTTTGGTCAGTATTTCTTATTACAAACCAGAATATCACAGAAAGAAAGAAAAAATTAAGCATATTCCTAACACTCTTTTTACAACCTGCCCTTCTGGACTCCCATATACCCTTCTCAGAAACAATTCTTCCTTACCTAACTTTCCCTTTCTTGTTCAATTATTTCCTTTCCCAGTTCTCCCAAGTTCCTTAGCTGGTGCATTTGAGGGGAGGGGTTTGAACAGGTATGACTTTGCGCAAGGGTTGCAACACTTAATGCTCAACTCAGAAAAGTTCAGTTAATTTGAAGCAGAAGTAGAGCAACCTATGCAGAACGAGGAAATTGACAAGAGAGATAAAGAGAGGAACAGAAACTCAGAATCAATTTCATAAAATTACAAACATCACCACTTTTAAAGGTCTGATTGCCATTCACTATCACCCTTGCATGACAAGAAGAAGAGATATGCTAAAGCTTACGATTACTTTAGGCATTTTTATAGTACAGTGCTTAAAAAAAAAAAAATCAGAAAGCATTAGAGGCAGCATTTGGTGGCTCCTGACCCTTCCTCACTGAGAAACTCTGAGCTTACAAGACAGAAAAAAAGCAGATATCATTTCCACCTCTTGTCTGTCTGCTCATTTGGAATCTTCCTCCCCCCTCCCCCCCCAAAAAAAGGGAGAAAAAAGAAAAGAGGGGAGAACAAAAAAAAAAAAAAAAAAAAAGACTGTTACGAAATACACCCAGAAAGAAACAGAGAGAGGCTTGCTTATAAAATTTATGAGTACCCATGTTGTAAGCATTCTCTATGTACATTACAAGGTTGCTACTGCTACTTGCTACTGCCAATGAAAACAGCAAACTATATGCCAGCAATACCTGGAGACCAAATATACTGTATCTAAATGAGAAGTCAGTGGAACTTTTCCAATACAAATTAACATGCCACATAGCAAAAAAGGAACACTATGCCCAGCAGAAACACAAAGTGTGTCCAGTCTCTTCATAGTGTATTTCCCTCACATAATGAAAAGGGTATGCACTATGGAAGTTTATAGCCACGGATATACCAAAAGCGGTATCAGGCATATTCTTTGATAAACCAGTTACTGGACACATTCACCTGCAACACTACTCAGTGTAGAACCATGACAAGAAGGAACATGGAATGCTGACTTTCGCAAGTTAAGGAACCATTTATTTGAAGTGACGTTTGACCAAATCACTGATCCAACTTTTCCAGTAAACCAACTTTACTCCAGTAGGTTTTAATTGGACCACTGAATGAACATTACTTCTATTCTAAGTATTTGTTCATCTACAAGAAAACAAAGCGAGGCTTGCAGCTACTGGGCACGTCCATAGAAAAAGGCTGGGCAAGCTGAAGCAACAAGATGAAAGCTACACTGATAATCAAAAATTTGGAACGTGCAACATGACACACTACAGTCCAGGTTATATATACTGCAAAAGCATCTAAAGTGGCCAAAGAAAGTTACAGAGGTTGCAGTTAAGACAGAATACAAAGTCAGTACAAAGTCTGCACCTGTGCTGCACGACAGCTTTTCCTTTCTTACAACATACCGATTTTGTCAGAACAGACAACTGTGACACCAGTGCTGAACGCTGTTCCGAGCTTGAGGCCCGCGGTCAGATCACCTAACTCAGACTGCTTGAGCACCCTGCTGACCCTACATCTCACCTCACTAGCCATTTTATCACAAGCTTTTGCCTAATAGAAGCCATTCAACCAAAGTCCCCGGGTCATTCCAGCACTGTACAACCCACAGCATGCAACAAACCATAAGCTGTCTTGGTTCTTTGTATTTTTTTTTCTCAAATGCTCTTGTGGATGTCTGCAAGTTAGACGACTAGAATCTCTACATGCTTGGACAGATTCCTCACTGAGGCCAACATTTTAAACAAAATTTTGTACTCAGGAAATACCTGAGTTCTCTGAATGAGATGACATGTGAAAACTTTACCAAAGACATACAATGACAAGTAGATTAGAAACCCTTTCACTACAACATGGAAGCAATATGTCACATTTGTCTCAAAAAGAAAACAATGACCTCTTCAAACCTTCCTGCTAGATGTGGAAGACCATATTCAAAAATCAGCCTCTGACAGTTTTGACTGTAACCACAGTGGGAACATCCACTCTTCCAGACAAGAGATGTGAAACTTCCAATGCCTTTCACAGAGATTTACTTGTGCAGAAGTGGATTTTGAATGCTTGAAATACTTAAGACAAAGCAGAGGTTCAGACTGCAAGTTGGTAATAATTTTGAGACTGAAGCTGAATACTCTTTCAGCAAGAGTTTCTCCCTCCAAAGAACTTCTCTCTAGTCTTCAAACAGGCAAAAAAAAAAAAAAAAAAAAACAAACCATGAAAGAAAAAAGTTCAGTTG